TATTATCTTTAACATTATAGGAAGAAATCTCACAAATACGTACAATCCAAAATGTTATGATATGACTAAGCATCAGTTTAATATTAAAATTGGAAAGGAACAAAGCAGTAGGTAGAGATACCAGTGAATATAGTTTCAAAATATTAAAAAAGATTTTCTGGTTTATAAATAACCTCATTTTTAAAAATTGTACCCCTATAGGAATTCTAAAGACATTTATGAAATCTGAACAAATAATTCCTTTAAATAAGAACTCTTCATTGTATTAATCACATTCGGCTCCCTTTTTTAAATACAGGGCAACTCTTAGTTCTTTATCTCATTTTAAGAAGGTACAATATAATAAAACATCAAATTTCAATTAATGATACCATTACACAGCTCATTTAATTTTTAAAAACTAACCAACTGGTTTTTAATTTTTTCTTTTTTAAATACTTATTGTTTATGCTATTACAGTTGTCTCACTTCTCCCCCTCCCGCCCCCCCCAGCCCGCCCTCTAATCCCATAATCAATCACCCCGCCATTGCCCATGTCCATGGGTCCTTCGTATATGTTCTCTGTCCAATCCCTTCCCCTTCTTTCTTTTTTGTTAAGAAATATCCTAAATGGCTCTTTTTAATTTAAAGACTTTATTTATTTTTAGAGACAGGGAAGGAAGGGAGAAAGGGAAATATGGATTATGTGAGAGAAGCATAGACTGGCCGCCTCTCTCACGCCCCCAGCCGGGGACCCGGCCCTTCACCCAGGCATGTGCCCGAGCTGGGAATCAAACTTGCGACCCTTTAGTTCTCAGGATGGCACGCAATCCACCGAGCCACACCCGCCAGAGCCCTTCCCCTTCTTTCAATCAGTCCCTTCCTCCCCTATCCCATTTTATAGTTGTCAATATGTTCCACGTTTCTATGCCACTGGTTCTATTTTGCTCATTAGTTGATTTTGTTCATTAGATTCCTCTTTTAAGTGAGAACATGTAAGTTTTCAAAAAGTGATTTTTAGTTTTTCTTAACAATTTCACTACAACAGTTGTATTACCTAAACATTTGTTTAAAAAAATTACGAGCCCATAGATTATGCACTTTAATCTGAAAACCAGATATGGAGCCATATAAATTTAAAAAATAAGCTCAATTTCCACCAGTTGCATACACAAGGTTTTTGGAAGGAAAGTATTGATAAATGCTTATTTCAATTTATTTATATTTTTACTTATTTCAAAAGGATTCAAGAGGACATAGAACATGTGTTTAGAAAATATCTTTCAATGAAATACAGAATGTTTAGCACAGTATCTTAAGCAAAATTGCTTAATTTTGAGATACCAAATTCGCAATTTTGCTAAATACTCTAGAAAGCGGGGGAGGGGGGGAGACTTAAGTTTTCTGCTTCAACACAAATAAGAAAGGAACCCAGTAAGAAAGCAATCAAAGCAAACATGAAAATAATTTTGAAGGTGAAACAGAAGAAATTTATCAAAAAGAAAAAGAGTTAACTTACATATATGTAAATTAAGCTCTAGTTTATTTGCTCTGTGTCCAGTTATCCATTTCAGAAAGGTATTTACATGATTCCTGTAATTAGCTAATCATTATAATCTGTTATAAATGAACTGCATTTTCTTTATTCTATTTTCACATAACTTTTCCAAATCTTCTGACCGTCAATAAAAAAGGTGACTTTATGGGGTATTAGAAAATAAATACGAAGCCTTTATACAGTATCTCAACTAAGCTAAACGTCTGCACTATTCTCAAAAACTAGGAGTATTTTAAGAAAACTTTGCTTTTTATCATTAAGTACAAAATAAATAAAACAATTCTAGAGCTGTCTCAAGTCTAAACACTTCAGATGGTTACTGGGGATATTAGGCCATATCACTTGTGTTAAGTTTAACTAGAGAAGTGTGACTGTCATTATGTATATATAAAATAGAGGGTAGGAGATATTTATCATGGTGTTGTGCTGAAAAAAGTCAATTTCCTACAAACTGAATTATAAATTTAACAATTCCAATTAAAAAACAAAATCTCTTATTCTGAATAGAAAGATTCTAAAGTTTATCTTTTAAAAAACATGTGTGAAAAGCAAAGAAAGTTTGCAGAAGTATAAGATGGAGCTTGCTCTCATCAATTAAAAGAATGGACACCGATACAAGCACTAATAGGTCAATGAAACAGCACTGGGAGCGTTGAAACATACCCAAGTATTCAAAAGAATTTATAATAAATATAATATTTCAAAACTGTGAATTAGTCAAAAAATCATTTAATAAATGATTCTTGGAAAAGTGGCTAAATATTTAGGTGAATCTAAAACTATGACTCTAGATCTCATAGACAAAATATTTTAAAAACCCGAGAAAATTCAAAATACTAAAAAAACACTAACTATGAAGTAATTGGGGGGAATGGAGAAAATATAAAAGCTACGCCTGAGTCAGAAAACATTAGAAGACTTGATTATCTAAAACACGCAGGCACACACACTTTCTCCATGTTAAAAATGTGTACAAAGTTGAACCCCCCCACCCCCTAAAAAAACTGGAAAAAAATTATAATGTAACAAAAACAACATTCGTATCAAAAAGATCAATCCAGCAATAGACTGTAGCACAGGATTATGAGCATGTAACTTACAACTAAATGTAACTACCATAAATGCATGAAAAGCATTCAGTGGAACTAGTAATTAGAGCAATGAAGAAACCAAACAGAAAATAGTAAAAAGCAGGATACTTAGTAAAGGGAAATGGAGACCATCATACAATGTTACCAGGACTATGAATAGATATGACCTTCCTGTTTAACAGCAATTTTCAACCTTTTTCATCTCATGGCACACATAAACTAATTGCGACAATTCTGTGGCACACCAAAAAATTATAATAGATATTTTTTTGCCAATCTGAAAAACAACTGGTATAACTTTGATTCATTCATAATACCCAGCAATTGCTGTGTTGGTTGTTGTCACTTTTTTATTTGACAATCTAAGGAAAAAGAGGTCAGTGCCCCTGACTAAATAGTCAGGTCTTGCATGCTTTAAAAATTCTTGCAGCACACCAGGTGAAATTCAAATGCTGCCAACAGAACCAGTATGTGTCAGTTTCAAATGTGTACTACTTCCAGCCCAGTAATACCTCTTTCAAAAATAAACTAAGGCAGTATCTCTCAAACATGTATGCATATGAATTCATCAGTGTTTGTTAATCTTGATAAATTAAACAGCTTAAATGTCCACCAATAACAACAAATCCATAATTGCACATCAGAATTGAAAATGCCAAGCATCTATGTAAAATGATGCAGAGATCATACATTTATTAACATGCAAAAAATATTCATGATGTTACATGGAAGCCCCCTGTGAGCAGCCAGATATCTTGTTCTTCAATCCTATTTCTAGCACCTAGAACAGTGCCTTGTCCAAAAGAGCTTCCCCAAAATCATACATTAAATACTTGAATACTAAAAGCAGGTTACAGAACAATAATCATAATAAAGTCCCTTCCTCTCTCCTCTTTCCCCAAACAGAAAAATAATTGGAAGGACAGTCACAAAAGGTTGACAAAGTAATGGAGTTTTAGTTGTGTGTTTAACTTTCTTCTTTATTCCTCTCTGTATTCTGTAAATTCCTTATACAGAAGACTTTATTTTTATTTTTATGACTGGAAAAAGTAACAAAATTGTGTTTTAAAAACTCATGTATTTAAAATGAACCCCAGAATGTGTTCAGTGACTACAGCTAACAAACTCCAAAAACTAAACTCAACAACACCCAAGTGGCATGATTTCGTTCATTTTCAAAGAATTATCAGTGTGCCTGTACAGTAGCATCCTCCTCCAATGCCAGGAAAAGCCACGCTATACTCACAAAATGCAGCACTTCCAAGAGAAAAAACATAGTTTTTCTGTAGTAAAAAATGAAAAAAAAACAACCCTAAAAGTAACTAATTTCTTAAAGTCCTCCCCACCTCTTATACACCCTGTTCTAGTTGGTGGTAAAGATAACCATGCACAATCATTTCTTCTCAAACTAGAAACCCAGTGAATCTATATCAGTAATATGACCTATGCGACTCTCGTTTCTTTGTGAAGGGTGATTTCAGTTTCAAGACATTCAAACAATTGAAGTTTCAAAACCAGCCACATACCCCGTGTCATTTCTCATCATCATGTTTTATTCATATACTTTATCACTACTGGAAAGAGCCTTATTCGGACTCTTACATGTCTCTTCCTGCTGGACTGTAGGCTCTGTGAGGGCAGGAATTCTGTCCTGCTCATCACTGTGTTCCCCAGTGAACGGCATGTAATAGGCCTCAAGAAGTATATGTTAAATTAATAATGAAAAGGTGTTAGGGGGGTTAGGGGGACGAGACAAATCTAAACAAGATAATAAGCAAGAAACTGGGGGAGAAAAGGAAAGAAAATCACACTGAAATGGACACACTGACGGGACTCAAGGCCCTAACGCCAGCTCGGAGGTTTGGGGGACATTTTTCAAGGTGGACAGGTGCTTCACACCTATCTGAGGGCAGAGAGCTCTTCTAGGAAGAAGAAAATCCTCAGGGAGGATTCCAGGTGGCTGCGTGCACCTTCCCAGAGGAGTGGAAACGATCATCACCAAAATAGAAATGTGTCCCAGGTCAAGGGGGGGGGGGGGGGGGGGACAACCATACATCTTGGCCCAGATGAAAAATCAAACACAACACACAAACCAAGCAAGCAACCGTCCGCGCGACACGTAAGAAGAGCGTAGTCTCCTTTTCCCTGGCTGTGCCATCGCCTGCAGCCCACAAGCCCCCTCATTCGCCACTTTTCCCTCCAAGGACTCCCCTGCCCCAGCTGGTCCAGGGAGAGGGGGAATGAAGGAAACATTCTGAGAATTACCTCTCTGTACCCCAACCCGAGCCCTACACCCTCCAAAGCGCAATCCCTCCTACCCTCGCCTGTCCCCCACACCCCGCCAAGGGCTCCTCGAGCTGCCCCTCACTCACGTGTAGATGATGGCCATAAAATGCATCAGCCACAGCACCAAGAAGAGGACAAACCCGAAGACGGCCATTCCCTGCAGGGCCAGGTCCAGCAGCGCCATCCCCCGGCCCGGCCCGGCCTGCTCCGGCCGCCGCGGCGGACAGCGCTCCCGCAGGAGGACAGGGTAGGCTCCCGGAGCGGGGGCGCAGGAGGGGAGAAGATAGGGAGAGGAAGGGGCGGAGTGGGGTGGGGACGGAAGGGGCGGGCAGGGCCTGCGCGCCCCCGCCCGCGCGCACTCGCCAGCGCGCTGCGCTGGGCGCGCTCACGATTGCAGGCGCTGCGGTGGTCGGGCTGGGTAGGCGGGGTGGCCGTGTCTCCGCGGTCCGGCTCGCCTTCCTACACCCTCGCGGCCGCCGGTCGGACCCTGCGCGCCTGAGCCCCAGCCGCCGCCGTCCCGCCGCCCCGCCGCCTCGCCTCGGACTCCGTGCCGCAAGCCTCCTACCCAGCTCTGCCGCGGTACCTCCGTAACTAATCGAAACCACCGGCTAGCGCCTCGACTCCCCGGCGCGCCCCTCCCCTCCCGGCCCCCGCCACCACCCCCGCGACTGCGGCGCCCGCCCCTCCGAGGGGCGGTGCGCGCCTCCTCTCTCCCTCCGCCTACCTTGGTCTCCTCGCGCCAGCTGCGTCACGGTCGCTAACAAAACCGTGGGACGCTTTTGTTGGATGCTGGCCGGGCTTTTCCCCAAGCTCCTGTCTCGTTCCACTGCCTACCTAGGGCCCAGGCGCCCAGGGAGGCCAGCGTTGCAGCGGAGGCGGAGTGTGACCCTGTGTCCGCCTGGTATGCCGCCTTCCCTCTGTGCGGCTCTGGACACGACGTTCCAGAAAAAGACACTGGGCTCCAGGCAGACGACCGGGTTGTCTCACAATCCGGCTTCCAACGTTGCTGCATCCGCAGCCACTCCGCCAGGCATTGCTCGGAGCGTCTTAGGCCTTTCCCCAGGCCACGTCCCTGGGCGCAAGGGTTTCCCATCGCGCCCCCCAGCCCCCGGCTTTTAATGCTGTGGAGGTTTGCATCACAACGGACCTGAGAGTAAAATAATCTCCTTGTGTCTCTCTGATCTCCAACAAACTTAGAGATCGTGTGTAACATAAAAGAAATTCTCTAACTCGTAATGTAAAGATTCAGTTACAATTGAACTCCTTTAAGACTACGGTTTATTTGGGTAGGCATGTGTGGCCAGTACCGAATTGAGAAGTGCCCTGCCTGAGTGTAAAACCATGCCCTGGAGGTCCAAGACCACTTCATTAGTAAACTTTATATGGATTATATGTTCAATCAACGATATATTTTATATGTTGGCTTAAATTAAGTAATTTCACTGTTCTTGTTTTACTTTTTAAGCGTAGCTTGCTATTATTTTAATTACTCAGGAGCAATACGGCTCTATAAAGGAAAGAAGTGGCACTCTGGATAGTAAGTTAACTTTGTGTTTACCTTAATTAAAAGTCAGTCCAAGGAGATGTTTTAATCTAGTAGTGAATGTTTCTGTTTGTTTCTTTAGCCTAGATGAGTTTATAGTGTTTCTCGATTGTTTCAGTTTTAGGCAATGTTTATTATTTTAAGTGATTTCCATTTAAATAATCCATGACAGCCTTTAGAGGTTTCAGAATTGAATTCAATTTTGAAAAGTTTATTTTATACTCACAATTTATAATAGTTAATATTGATTAAATGAGCTAGCTCAATCTACAGTTAAATGATAAACTACAATCAGGAAAGAGTTTAAATTAATATCTGTATTGAAAACCAATCATGGTTTCGATGTGCCCATTGTTTTATCAGCTTTAATGTCAGCAAGAAAAAAACAGAGCTTAGAAACCAAACTTCCATTGTTGATTGTTACTGGTTGATAACTTAATGTTATAGCAGGGTAGTGTATTAACATTGAAAAAACATTACAAATGGAAAACTTAAAACCTCACTGTTGCAGTTAATTCAAACACATATTTAAAAAAAACAATTTAAGCCTTTTTAACATTTCTGACATGGAAATGCATCTCATAGTCAATGACATCTTACAATTAATTGGTAGGGTTTTTTTTTTAATCATATATAAAATAATAGTGCATCTGCCCTGGCTGATATGGCTCAGTGGATTGAGTGCCAGCTTGTGAACCAAAGTCTGTTCAATTCCCAGTCCCAACACATGCCTGGTTTTCCGGCCAGGTCCCCAGTTGGAGGACAGTGAGAGGCAACTGATTGATGTACCTCTCACATGACGTTTCTCTCCCTCTCTTCCTGCCTTCCTTCCCCTCTCTGAAAAATAAATAAATAAAATCTTATTAAAAAATAGTGCGTCTTACAATTAATACCCTCATAGCTTTGATGAACTACAATCAATGGCAATTTAAGCATTTTGTTATATGCTGCATTTTTCCAAAACATTTATTGGAATCTTCTAACTAAGGATTTTATGCAGTATGATCAATGACATGGAAAATGAGGCCCAAGAAAGATGAAGAAGCAGATATTAAGAGTTAACAGATTTGCTATAGTTGAACATAATCAGTTGATTAAAGATCAGCTATGTTGTACTTGACCATAGTTAAACTTGGTCTATCCAAACCTCGTTGCTGATTTTAAAGCAGCAACTTCAGAATGTGTAATCCTAACTTTCTAAAGATACCATAAATGTGTAAATGTCTTCCATGCAGTGCAGCAGCATAAGAGTCTAGCAAAGACCCTGTCCACTCATCACACTCTTGGTAATTATCATTGTTTTGATTGCATATCTAAAGGGCCTCTTTTTTAAGAAAACCAATTCCACCAACTTCAGGGCTTCTGGCTTTTTCCAGTGGTAATGCAGTAACATTAGTATATATTAGAAGTCATATAGCTTAAGGAGCAATGTTTTTAGAGGCAAACAAAATCCAAATTTGACTGTCATCTAATGGTCCTCGATGTGGCAGTTTTAAAAACCTAAACAAGAATCCAAAATGTCTGGTTCAAACCAAGTAGTTGGAACACATTTTTGGCTTGAACCAAACCCAAACCAAAATAATTTAATTATAGCTGATTCCAAACCAAAACTGGAATAAAATTGTATGTTCTAGTCCTATGTCCCAGAAAAGAGGAGGAGAAAGCTGTAAGAACACAGGTCTGTAAGTTACTTCAGAGAAACAAAGCAAACTTGAGAAAATTGATACCCTTAGTTACATTGTATCCAGAATGCCTATACTATATTTAAAAGTTCCTGTTACATTTTTACAAGTTAGTAACACTTTCAACAATCAGGTTTCTTGACTTGGGTGATGTCTGAGAAAAAGATCATCTTTAGTGACATTTCTGTATAAATCAAGTTTAAAATGTGATACTGAAAAGCTATGCATGGGAAAAAGACGGAAAGAAATTATACCAAATGATTACGATTATTTGTCTGAAGAATAAAATTTGTTGATTTAAAAAATCTGCCTTTTTATATTGTTTTTATAATGAAAAGTGACTTTCTATTTTACAAAAGTTAATCAATGATGAAAACTGTATAGAAATTTTGCATATTAAAAAAAAATTGTGAGTGGTACATTCCCTGGCCAGGTAGCTCAGTGGTTTAGTGTTGAGCATTGTCCCGATACACCGAGGTTGCAGGTTCTATCCTTGGTCAGGGCACCTATGAGAAGCAACCAATGAATGCATAAATGAATGGAACAACAAATTGGTGTTTCTCTCTCTCTCAAATCAATTTAAAAAATTTTAAAAAACGAGTGGAATGGTCACTGTGGAAGACAGTCTGGTGCCTTGGCTGGGGAGCTCAGTTGGTTAGAGTGTAGTCCCAATACACCAAGGTTGCAGGTTTGATCCCTAGTCAGGGCACATACAAGAAGCAACCATGAATGCATAGTAAGTGGAACAACAAATTGATCTTTCTCTTTCTTTCTCTCTCTCTCTGCCTCTCTCTCTCTCTCTCTCTCTCTCTTTTATTCTCTCTTTCTAAAAATCTATTAAAAAGTTTAAGGAAAAGTAAAAAAAAGACAGTTTGGCAATTACAAAACTAAACCTACTCTTACCATATGATCCAGCAATCACACTCCTTGGTATTTACCAAATGCGTTGAAAACTTATGTTCACACAAAAACCTGCACAAGGGTGTTTATAGCAGCTTTATTCATAATTGCCAAAACTTGGAAGCAACCAAGATGTCCTTCAGTATGTGAACAGATAAGTAAACTCTGGTATGTCCAGACAATAGAGTATTCAGCACTAAGAAAAAAAATGAGGTAGCAAACCATGAAAAGACATGGAGGAAGCTTGAATGCATATTATTAAGTGGGAAAAAAAGCCAATCTGAAAAGCCCACATATTGTGTGATTCCACCTCTATGACATTGAGGAAAAGGCAAAACTATGGAGACAATACAAAGATCTGTGGTTTCCAGGGGGGGAAGGAAAAGACGAATAGGCAGGTTACAGAGGATTTTGGGGACAGTGAAACTATTCTGTTCGTACTAGAAGGGTGGACACATTAAAACCCACAGAGGTACAACACCCAGTGTAAACTATGGACTTTGGGTAATGATAACGTGTCAGTGTAGGTTTATCAGCTGTAACAACACTGCTACAGAATGTTTACAGTGGGGGAAGCTGTGCATGTGGAGGCTATGAGTATATGGTAACTACTTTCTGCTCAGTTTCACTGTGAACCTACAACTGCTCTAAAAAATTAAGTATTTTTGAAAAATTAGTGTGTGCTATGCAGAAAGAAAATTATTGGAAATGTTATATGTCTGGATAACTGAGCTAAGCTAGTTTGTCATTAGACCCCAGGGCTTTGCCCCTTCTGGGCTGGTGATTTCTAACTTTTTTCATTCTGAGGCACATGTAAACTTAATTACTAAAGTTCTACGGCACACCCAAAAATACAGTCTTTGCTGATCTGACCAAAAAAAAAAGTAGGTATAATTTCGATTCATTCATACTGGCTAGCTATTGTGTAGGCTGTTGTTATTTTTTTTATTTGACAATCCAAGGGAAAAGAGGTCAGTGCCCCTGACTGAACAGTCAGGTATTGCATGTTTAAAAAATTCTTGCAGTGCACCAGCCTGCCTGCCTGGTGCACCTGTTGAGAATTCCTGTTCTGGGTCCTCTAATAGTTGTTGAACAAGTGAATAAATTATACTGAGAAAAGTCACTGGGA